ATGGATTCCCGCGTCTGTGACAGCAACTCTCGTCGCCAAGGCCCATGAAGACCACAAAGCTGGACACGGTGGGATGAAGAAGACCCTGCATCGGTTAAAAAGGCACTATTACTGTCCAGCGATGACGACACAAGTGCGGGAATATGTCCGAGACTGCGACACTTGTAAGGAGTCCAAAGCACCGAATTATCGTAGCCAGGTAGAAATCGGTCAGGAAGTAGTTACGGAGAGGCCATTCCAGAAGATCTACATAGATTTCCTGGGGAAGTATCCCAGGTCGAAAAGGGAACAGGCCTGGATTTTCGTCGTCGTGGACCATTTCTCAAAGTTTACCTTCCTGAAAGCGATGAGAGAGGCCACCGCGGCAAATGTGGTACAATTTCTTATGCAGGAGGTATTCTACAAGTTCGGAGTGCCAGAGGTGATCCACTCCGACAACGGAATGCAATTCGTCTCAAAGGTGTTCCAGGACATGATAGGCACCTTCGGAATCCGACACATGCGTACAGCCGTATACTCGCCGCAAAGTAATGCAGCCGAGAGGGTGAACCGGACGATATTGGCTGCAATAAGGACGTACTTAGAAAAGGATCACCGAGACTGGGACATGTACTTACCGGAGATTGAAGTGTCGATCCGTGACTCAGTGCACAAAGCCACAGGCGTAACGCCATTCTTCGCAGTGTTCGGACAGCAAATGTTCCTGAATGGAAACTGCTACAAGCTGGCGAGGAAGTTGCAGTCGTTGGCAGAGCACGATGTGCACACATTAGATCCCACTGATAAGCATCAAATCATTCGCGAGCATATAAAGAACAACTTACACCAAGCATATGAGCGGAGCAGCCAACGCTACAAAAAATGGGCCCGAATATTTCACGCCTGGTCAAGAAGTTTACAGGCGCAATTTCACTCTTAGCGACTTTGGCAAAAGCTACAACGCCAAGTTCGCACGGAAATTTATAAAATGCCGAGACGTACGCCCAGTAGGGCGAGAGTTGGAGGATCTGTCGGGGAAGCCTGTGGGGATTTTTCACGCGAAAGACCTAAAATTTTAGAAAAAAAGTAAGACCAAGATAGCAAAAGGGGAACGTACTCACATATAAACTGGTAGAGGAGTGGGTGTAAGCCTACGTTGGGGCGCTGTAAGCAAGGCCGGCGCAAATTTATAGTTCCTTCAATGTTTGTGAATAAATAATTCTTCGCTTCCATGGTCTCCCGAATTTTCACTAGGTGTTGCATTTCAGGGATATCGAGGAAGGGGAAAGATTTCCAGACAGGGTGGCAAGGCCGAGGTTGAAGGGGAAGTGTTTAGCGGACAGTGGCGCCCCCTAGTCGGGCGATCTTGAAACTGTAAGAGATCCGCGCGCTCTTGAATTCCCTGTGGAGAGAGAAGAACCTCGCCTCTCACATAACAGTGTCCCGGAGCCAACTCACCTACACACCCTTAAGGGGAGAGAGCGGCTACCAGGAAGAGTAGGCCATGCCCTTGAACCTGGTTCAAGGCAATAGAAGAGATCGATAGGGCTTGGCGACCAATGATATAGGTATGGGCAGCTTAGGCAGTAGGGGACAGAACAAAAAAATCGTTAGCGGAAGGCAGAACAAAAAAAAAAAGTTACGGATCGGGACTTAAAAAAAAAAAAACACAGTGAGTGGAATGAGGAATTAGGTTGTCCCGGACGGCCCTCCCGGGGCCACGCATAGGCCAGTATGGCTCTTAGTTGTCCGGATTGATGCGTATGGACCTTCTGAGTGTTTTTACGCGGTTTCGAAATCCGTGAGGATCGAGGAGAATTTTGCAAAGGCAAGGAGTTCCGCTGGCGTCCTCATGGATGCATCTTCCAGCGATGCCAGTACCGGGTTGCCAAGATGTTCGTTTCTTGCCCTTGAGAGGGCCGGGCATTGGCAGATTAGATGTTCCAGGGTTTCGATAGCCCCAGATTCATCGCATTTCCTGCACTTGTTACTGTTCGTGATGCCTAGTTTGACAGCATGTGCTGCAGCCAGGCAATGACCTGTGAGTATACCTATTAGCATCCTACAGTCCTTCCGTGGTAGGTGCAGTAGGTAGCGGCTGAGCTTACCATTGCTCTCCTTTCACATGGTTTTGCGATCTTGCAGTTGGTGGTTCTCCTCCACCTGCTACTGGCCTGTATGTGTGCCCTCCTCTCTAGGTCGCTTTGAAGCGCTCTGAGGGAGACAGGCACGTTCTCAGTCCTGTCGTTTGCCAGCCCGACGCCTTCCTTAGCCAGTACGTCTGCTGTCTCGTTGCCTTCGATGCCCTGGTGGCTGGGAACCCAATAGATCCGCACTGACTTTGTCGTGCTTAGGAAATCTAGTGCCTTCCTGCTTGCCAGGACATTTTTGGAACTGACCGCTGGCGACTGCATGGATCTTATCGCCGCCTGGCTGTCCACGAACAGGTTGACCACATTATGTGTGCGTTCCGTACATCGAGCAACCTCCGCCGCTTTCCGTATGGGAAAGACTTCTGCCTGGAATATGCTGCATTGGTCCGGTAGCTTATAGGACAGCCTTATTTCAGGGTCTGTACAATATATGCCCGCACCTACTCCTCCCTCCATCTTGGAGCCATCCGTGTATATGTTTAGGTGTTCGTTCTGGTCCCAACTTTCTTTCCAGTCGTCGGGTTCCATGTGTATCGCTGTTTTGACGTCCAGGCACGTTCGGGGATCATGTAGTCAGATATACTGATCATGTCTCGGCCTATTGAACTGTGCCCGAATCCTTGCAGCGACATATTGCCTGATGCGACTAGGCGTTGTACTGCCTTACCTGCAGTCAGTCTAGCGTGGATGTCTAGGGGGTCAATTCCGAGTATTGTTTCGAGTGCTTTTGTTGGGGTTGACCTCAGCGCCCCAGTAATGCAGAGCAGTGCCTGCCGCTGAGTTCTATCCATCAGCTTATTGTAGGTTTTGTTTTCTGTAGCCTGCCACCACACTAAGACTCCATACAGCAGAGTCGGTCGCACTACCGAGATGTAGATCCAGTGCATTAGTGCAGGTGACAGGCCCCATGTGCTGCTAAGCATCTTCTTTAATGCATATAGCGCAATGGTGGCTTTCTTCACCCTTTCCAATACATTGGGTCTCCATGTCAGCTTGCTGTCCAAAACTATGCCGAGGTATTTGACTTGTGTTTTTGGGGTGAGCCTGGTTCTGTCAATTTTCGGGGGGATCCATGCCGGTACCTTGTACCTCTTGGTGAAGAGGATGAGGTCCGTCTTGTCCGCGTTGATACTGAGTCCCCTACTTTTCCCGCCCACTCACATATCTCCCTGAGTGTTGATTCCATTATAGAGCTGAGGCTCGATGGGCATACTCCCGTAATAATTATGCTTATGTCGTCCGCATAAGCTGTTATTTTTGGGGCTCTCCTCTTGAATCTCTTTATCAGGTCGTCGACCATGAGATTCCATAGGAGGGGCGAGAGGACCCCACCCTGAGGTGTGCCTCTGTGCGCCCCTTTCACCATGGAAGCGGTGCCCCACTCTGAGTACACCCGTCTACAACTTAGAAGGTTCTTTATCCAGGGGTTGATTGCGGGATGTGTGTTGATCGCTTCTAGGCGGTCCATTATCGCGCTCATATTCACGTTGTTGAATGCTCCGGATATGTCTACAAACACTCCTAGTGCATACTTCTTATTTTGGAGGGCATTTTCGCAGTGCCGTCTCTACCGATTTCCCTTTGGTATAGGCATGCTGGTTGGTTGACATCCGCCCACCTACATCATTTCTGATGTGTAGATCCAGCAGCTTTTCTAGTGTTTTGAGTAGAAAAGAGGTAAGGCTTATCGGTCTGTAGTCATTGGGGCTCATATGGCTGCACTTTCCTGCCTTTGGAAGGAAGACAATCCTCGAGGTCCTCCATTGAATAGGGATATAGCCCGTGCTCAGGCAAGCTGAGTATATTGCAGAGAGCCATGGGGTGATCACGTCTTTGGTCACCTGTAGCATGGCTGGAAATATACCGTCTCGTCCAGGTGCTTTTGTACCCACAAAAGAGTCTATAGCCCAGTGGATTCACTTATACGATATGAGATCTGTTGGAGGGTGCTGTTCCTCATTTGCTAGGTCCTGATGCTCTGTAGCGTCAGCGACCTCGGTGCATCCTGGGAAGTGGGCTTCTTCGCTGCCTCCAGTCCATTGTCCATCATTTCGTTTCAGCTGACTCTGTATGGCGGGTTGCTTTGATAGCAACTTCCGGAGTCTGGCCGTTTCTGGGACTTTCTCGATATTGGAGCTGAAGTTCCTCCACGAGTTTCTTTGTGCCTTGCGTATTTTCTTCTTGTACTCCCTGAGTACAGTTTGGCGATTTTGAAGAATTCTTTGAGGTTATTTCTTTGAAGCGATAAGTCCCGGTTTCACCAGAGTGGTCTGGTTCTCTTTTTCGTTCTCGAGGGTGGGCATGCTGCGTGGTACGCATCCAGTAGCTCCTTGGAGAGGGTCTCTAGGGACGTTTCTATTTCTTCCGGGGATTTCACTGTGCCCGCACGATTCGCGAGCTTCGAGGTAACTGTCTTTTTAAACTTTTCCCAGTTTGTGTTCCGGGGGTTTCTATAGACAGTTATCTTCGGAGAGTGTTTAAATTCGCACTTAAACTGAATGTACTTGTGGTCTGAGAAGGATGGTCTTTCAAGGACTCTCCATCCAGATACCAAAGTACAGTTCCCCATTACGAGTGTAAGATCTAGTACGTTGGACGAGGTGGGGCCTACGAATGTGTGCTCCTCCACCACGTTTGCTACATCTAGGTTAGTGGATAGTATAAAGTCTAGAAGTGACTCACCTCTTTCGTTGATATCGGGGCTTCCCCACACGCTATGGTGGGCATTGGCGTCCGTACCAACTATGAGTTGCTGGTATTTCGGACTGGCTTCCGCCACCAGACTCCTTAGCTCTTCCGGTGGAGCTGGCCTGTCGTGTGCCATGTAGCAGGATGCTACCATAAGGCGCTTGTCCTCGCTTTCAAGCATCACCGCAGCCAGGTCTTCAGTGCTGTAATGAGACATAAGATAAGCATGGATGCCCTTTCCTACAAGTACGGCGGTTCTAGTCCTGCTTACCGATGGTGGGTAGAAGAGATTGTAATTGGAGGACTTTAGTCCGGCCACAGCATTGCCGGAGGCAAGCCATGGCTCCTGGACCAAAGCTATGTCGACGGGCTCTTGCTCCAAGGCAATGAGGAGCTCCGCCGACGCGAGCTTGCTTTTATGCAAGTTGAGCTGCAGCACTCTCAATGTCATGGGAGGCTGGCTCAACTGCACTCGACGGGTTGACTATTATAGTCAGGTCACCGTCCTCGTCCTCTGCGGCATCAGAGTCGTCCAGCGCAAGATCCTGGGCGGCCTCTACGATGGACTCCAGACCTAAGTCCTTTTCCACCTCGCCTACCTGCAGGGTATGCGCGTCCTTGTCCTCGGGGTGGCGCTTTTTGAGACGTAGGTAGACACTGCCTACGCCCCATGCCATCTTCCCGAATCTCGGGTAGAGGATGTCCTCTGCCTCCTTGTTGATCTGGATGATCATGTGCTGGCCCCCCTCATTGGGTAACGGGCTACCAGCATGCAGGATTTTCCAGTCCGCCGTAGGCACCTCTGTATTCTGCCTCTGGAGAAGTTTCAGTGCTCGGTCTCCCTGGACTGCAATGGGGAAGAGCACCTTCGCCTTTGGGATGGAAGGGATCATCTCCCTGTCCACTACCTCCAGCTTGGCCCCCTCCCACAGAGCTTCCAATTTGGGCACCACTTGCAACAGCCACTTCCTCGTCGGGTCATCATTACATTTGAGGATCTTCACCCCGTTCAGCCATCCCGCACCGTCAAAGGTGGGCATGGCAGCGTCCGGCGCTTCCTCCATTCGCGCGAAAAGGCAGTCTACCAGCTGGGCGTGGACCTGTTTCCACTGCGCCGCCGTCATCTTCCCATTTTCGTCGCTGCGGTCGATCAGGGCCACGATGAGGTGCCTCTTGGACACGTCGCTCACCTTGGCCTTCTGCTTGGGCTTCTTCGTCTTAGAAGGTTGAGGGATAACCACCTTGGGCCCGCGATGCCGCTTGCCCGCCGGAGTGTCCTTGGCACTTTCGGTCGAGCGTTGCCTTTTGGTGGCCATCATTTCCTCAACCCTATTGGCGAATTCACCCTTCATCGCCTTCATCTGAGGCAGCTGCGCGTAGTGGAGACGCCCTTCTTCTACCTTTTGCTCAGCCCATGCTAGTTTGGACTTCTCCTCTTGGGAGATGTCCTCTTTGCCTTGTAGCCGGGTTTGGATTTTGAGGGCCGCCTTGTATTGGGCCTTAGCCTTCATCCCCTCTCTAGAACGCCTCGGCCCTTCCCTACGAAGGGAGCTGGTACCTGGTTCAGGCGAGCGGAGAAGGCTCTCTTCCTCCGTTCTGCTTACGCTGAGCACGCTCTCCAGGTCCGAGTCTGTTTCGACCACGGCACCCGTGCGGCTCAGCTTGCAGAGAGGCGTTTTGGTGGCAGTAGCTTTAAAACTAATATGACCTGCTCCCGCCATATCAGAGTTGTGACCGCTGGCGACACGCAGAGAGGATTGCTCCTCCCCGTGCCCGCCGGTGGTAGCAGTCACGCTTTCCACCGACGTTTGGACTGACATCCTGTGACGTTGCTTCGGCCGGGGTATGCTCGCCGCGCCGGGTTCACAGAAATTTGTTAGGTTTCTGGCTGTGGTAGCTGAAAGGGATATCTCGGTTCAAGAATAACGCAAGCAAGTAGGAAGTTAAAACAAAGTTTCTTTATTGGTCTTAATTGTACAGAGTTGGAAATAAGATGGATCGTGGGGACGTGTCTTCCTTCGGGATCTTCCTTCGGTTTTGGCTACTCGGCCGCACGTGGCTGTTTGCGACGGGCTACGCGGGTTTGGAGTTCGACTGGTTCGAGGGTACTCCGACGAGAGTATGGAGGCGGAGGTTGGAACACACTCCGATGATAAGATCGGTGCGGAGGTTGGGACACGCTCCGAGGAGATGTTTGCGGCGGAGGTTTGAGCACGCTCCGAGGAGAAGATTGATGCGGAGGTTGGAGCACACTCCGAGGAGAAGAGCGATGCGGAGGTTTGGACACGCTCCGAGGAGAAGATTGATGCGGAGGTTTGGACACGCTCCGAGGAGAAGATTGATGCGGAGGTTTGGACACGCTCCGAGGAGAAGATTGATGCGGAGGTTTGGACACGCTCCGAGGAGAAGATTGGTGCGGAGGTTTGGACACGCTCCGAGGAGAAGATTGAGGCAGAGGTCTGGACACACTCTGGAGAGGATTCAGAGGTTTGGACACACTCTGGCGAGGATTCAGAGGTTTGGACACACTCTGGAGAGGATTCAGAGGTTTTGACACACTCTGGAGAGGATTCAGAGGTTTTGGCACACTCTGGAGAGGATTCAGAGGTTTTGACACACTCTGGAGAGGATTCAGAGGTTTTGACACACTCTGGAGAGGATTCAGAGGTTTTGGCACACTCTGGAGAGGATTCAGAGGTTTTGACACACTCTGGAGAGGATTCAGAGGTTTTGACACACTCTGGAGAGGATTCAGAGGTTTTGGCACACTCTGGAGAGGATTCAGAGGTTTGGACACACTCTGGGCAGGAGAGGTAAAGTATTGAGCAGAACGAGTGGAAAGGTAGATATTACCTTTGGCACAAGATCCGCTGTAAAATTCTGGTTTCTTAGGCCAGGGCTTTCCGAGTTGGACTGCCCCGATTCGATCTGGCGATCCTCCTTTTATTGCCGGTGATCAGCTGTGTGTGCCCCGATATGGGCCTAACGCGTTCTGGTTTTTGCCATAACGCGTCCCGGCCCAGCTGTTAGTGTGACCGTGTTCGGTGCGCGTTGGTCACACTAGTCTTTGGCGCGCGTGTTCCTGGTTTGGATTTGAATTTAAATGTTTAACGGTTTTTTTCTTAGTTATTTATTGGAAGGAACTTCATGGTTTTTGTGTCGCTTATAAATATGTGATACTAGGTGGTATGTGATATGTGTTATGCTTATATGTAATGGTAATGTCTGTAATTGTAGGTAATTTGTATGTTGCAATGTGGCGCCGGCGCTTTTTTTGTGGTGGCGCTGGGCGTCACAATCCCAGTCCCTGCTTGATCCTTACTCCGGTCCATGTGGTTAATATTTATCGGGGGGACCACCCCCTAGCATTTTATGCCTGTCCGCCAGGCACCTCCAGCCATGGCCATGGTTCAGTTCCCCCAATTTTATATCGGGAAGACCTGGACCCGGCCTTAGCTAGACACTGCATTACCTCGGACAGAGCAAACGGCAATGCATTAACCCGATCCGGGGTAATGCAGTGCCCATTGCCGGCCGGGCAAGACGTCCCCGTCTTCCAAAAAAATTTGAATTAAATCCGATACAAATTTATACATATACTTTAAAATCGACTAGGCCGTCACATATTTATTTATATATTTATTTATTTATGTACTCTTAATTATATTTATTTATTTATTTATTCGTATTTATTGTTGTTTAGAGTGAGGACGGCGCTGGCGGGGCTACAGCTCTGTGGGCATTCCAGCCACACCACTGTTAGCAATCCAGCTACGCAAGCTGTTGCCCTCGCTCTCGCTCTCACGCTTAAGAGCATTTTTCCCCCCGGCGACCCGCTCTCGCGCGCATATTCACCACGCTTGCGCTCCCGCCCACGCTCACGTTCCCGCTCTCGCCTCCGACAGCCCTCGGCAGCTTGAGTATCACCGATCGAATTCAATGCGCTTCTTCACCCACAAGCAAACGGTTTTGCACGCGAGACATACATATATGTACATAACTTAAGCCTACGAATCAACCCCGAAATATATACTGAAGAAACTTGGACGTGCATTGTTTTTATCTTGGAATTCATCTGTGGGACTTCGAGAAGCCTCTTCGCTCAAAAAATTGTAATACGCCCATACCCATAACTAAGGTCCTAGAGAGGAAGAGTTTAGGATGGGTGTTAGGAGGTCGACCTGAAACAAAGATAGGAGTTATTCGAATATAAGTTGAAAATATAAGAAAAGATGAAGTGCTAAGTGTTTAAAATGGGGGGAAGGCGAGCCAAGACTACGAGAGGATGATGAAGATGCTGCACATGGCAGGAAGACCCGAGATGGTCTGATCGGATCTCTGGTAGGGTGGGTACGTCGGAGGTTTAAAACCAACGCCTCAACCTGGTCCACGTTTTAGTAGGAGATCCTTTGTCGAGTATGATTTATTTTTGATGTGTCGTTATGTTAGTTTCCGTTTTTTTTTTTGTAGCTGTTTCAATTGTTGTCCGAGATGATCGATTTGTTTGGTTTGTTGTGCGACCTGAGGGCTTGGGAAGTATCCAGCCCTGGGATGACTGGCTAGCTGGCCTTGCCCCACCACCAAGAGGTTCGTAACAAATGGTTCGACTCAGCAGTAGATCCAGCAAGTAGAATTGGCAGTGGCTCTGGTGGTGCTTCAATTGGAGGTAATTTGATTTTCCTTTCGTTTCATTATTGAACTATAGAGCCTGGCTGTAAGTGCAGACATGACTTATCTGGCCATGGCGATTGACGCTATAATCATATGATCTAGCTAGATCATATTGAAATGCAAGACGATTGTATTGCTACTGCGTCTATTGTTTTCATTACTATGCGACCGAAACAAATTAGTTGCTATAGAACGCGACTGTCGTGTTCACCATCTGGCTTCCTCAAGCCTGTTTGCACGCCTTTTCTTCTGGCTCCATGTAATTTCCCGGTAATTTCTGCGTTGCGTGTACGACGACCCAAATTCGTCTTTTCATTTGTGACTGAAACAGGAGAAAAGGACTCTCGATCGAAAAGCAAATTTTTTAGTTAATCGAAAACCTGATTCTATAGTGTTAATTAGGGCTCAAACGGTTCAGTACTTTTTGAATGCATAGATTTTCAAGAAAAGAACACAAAAGAACGCTGCTTCGCTACGTATAAAGTGAAATAATAATTACCATAATAAATCTGACTGTTTTAATTAAAAGCAGCACGCATCATTTCAGCCAAAACAGCACGACGTATTCGTGATCGCCGTGCAAGATTCAGTACAGGCACAGGGTCAACAGATCTATTTCGTGCATTACGTTCACGCTGCAATGCATTAGCTTGTGCGCGTTCATCTGTAGTCTGTGATCGTCTTAGTAATGCCACATAATTTACAATACGCATTCGCCGACCTATAATTGCTCGACTGGCTCGTGGCATTTTTCCTTCATATAAAAATGAATAAATCAAATTAAAAACAAATTGCTACAATTCACACAATAGACACAATAAACACAACAAAGCACTAGTCACAACACTAGTCAACACTAGAATTAAGCTGTGGCCCAAAATTTAGATTCTAATAGATTTCGGGGTTTACAAATTTTTAACGAATTATGGTTTTTTTTATGGTGTAGTTTTTTTTTAAAGAATTTTTTTAAATCTGGTATTTTTATACCCGTACTCAAAAAAGAGTTAAGGGGTATATTAGATTTGTGGTAAAAGTGGATGTGTGTAACGCAGAGAAGGAAACGTTTCCGACCCCATAAAGTATATATATTCTTGATCAGCATCAATAGCCGAGTCGATAGAGCCATGTCTGTCTGTCCGTCTGTCCGTCTGTCCGTCTGACCGTCTGTCCGTCTGTCCGTCTTGTTTGACGCCTGGATCTCAGAGACTATAAGAGCTAGGGCAACCAAATTTGTTTTCCAGACTCATGTGATATCACACTGCTACAAGTGTATTTCAAAATTTCGCCCCGCCCCCTTCCGCCCCCACAAAGGACGAAAATCTGTGGCAGCCACAATTTTAAAGATACGATAAAACTGAAAGCGCAGTATCGTAGAAAATAACCATATCTACCAGATTGCCGAATCTGAATCAGATCGGATCATAATTATAGCCAGAATGAAGAAATGAATTTTCTGTTGGTTCCCTCTCCTTCTCCAACGCTGCTGACGCTACTGATTCTCTTTCTCGCTCGCACACTCTGCCGCGTTCAGTGCGCGAGCAACCCCTAGCGGAGGAGATGTAGAATCTAAATGGAACACGTACAATCTACATGTTAGATGTAGAATAGACATTGTATATGTAGATGTAGATAGCAGATGTAGCAAAAAAATGTAAAATGTAAAATTTTTTTTTTTTTTCCAAAATTCTACAAAATCATAAGCTGTATATACTGACTGAGTACGGGTATAAGTAGAGTCGTGTCCCCAGAAACGACTCACACGTTCCTTCTCGTTTAATGTGTTTTTTTCAGAGGTAGTGCTTCTATTTTCACATAACTTAAGTATCTTATTTCTGGTTGCATAGAATTTTGTTCTGAAAAGCTTACAAATGCAACTATAAATCGTACCCAGACACTTTGTATTTGCAGCTTAACGCCTGGAAGATATTAAGCTTTCAAATTCAAATTTCATCATTTTTTGAGTTCTTTTTTTTCGAAATTTTGACTTTAAAAACTCGGGAAAAGTCGAAAGAAAAACATTTCTTGGCATGCATTTTAAGTTTTATATAGACGCATTAATTAGGCGTCGTTTAAGGTATTGTTCATTAAAATCTATGGATAAACGGTGGAGCTAAAATTCGTTAACCAAACCTCGAAAGTGAAAAATAGACAAAAACGAGAAGGAACGTGTGAGTCGCTTCTGGGGACGCGACTCTACTTATACCCGTACTCAGTCAGTATATACATTTTTGAGCTTATGATTTTTTATAATTTTAGAATTAAAAAACAAATTTTACATATTACATTTTTTTTGCTACATCTGCTATCTACATCTACAATGTATATTTTACATCTAACATGTAGATTATAGATGTACCATTTATATTCTAAATCTCCTCCGCTAAGGGTTGCTCGCGCACTGAACGTGGCAGAGTGTGCGAGCGAGAAAGAGAATGAGTAGCGTTTCTCTTGCTGGATGGGGCGGGGGAAGCAACTGAAAATTAATTTCTTCATTTTGGCTATAATTATGATCCGATCTGATTCAGATTCGGCAATCTGGTAGACATTGTCATTCTCTACGATACTGCGTTTTATCGTATCTTTAAAATTGTGCCTGCCACAGATTTTCGTCCTTTGTGGGTCGGAAGGGGGCGGGGAGAAATTTTGAAATACACTTGTAGCAGTCTGATATCACATGAGCCTGGAAACCAAATTTGGTTGCCCTAGCTCTTATAGTCTCTGAGATCTAGGCGCTCAACAAGACGGACAGACAGACATGGCTATATCGACTCGGCTATTGATGCTGATCAAGAATATATATACTTTATGGGGTCGGAAACGTTTCCTTCTCTGCGTGTATACACATCACCATAAATTAATTTTACCAATTTACAAATCTATCCGCCCTTAATTTTTTTGAGTACGGGTATAAAAATGACACCATAAAAAAATAATAAAAAGCAACAATTTTCATAACCGGATATCAGAAACATAACACGAAGTCATTATATCACGGCATGGGCCATGAATCATGATTGTGGTAATTATATCGATCAGTAGACGGATCTGAAAATTACGCGGATATTACACTATCTATTTCCTCCAAATTAAAATGTGTGCATGAGGTAATCCTCGTTTTTGCCATTCAACTGAATCTGCATCTAACCTATTGGTGAGTGCGCGATTTTGGTCCTCACCATCCATGAAGTATATTTGACAAACTGATGTGCTTCGTTTGGCATTGGAAGCATTTAGCTTTCTCTGTGGTACAGTTGTCCTTTAATTTTAAATGTTGAATTATATTGTAGACCATTTTCCGCAAAATTGTTGACTATTTCTGTTGCTCCGAGCGATGTCATTTAGAAGCATGAATTTTCGAATCGACCTCAGGAAGATGTTTGAGTCTGGATCCGTGCAGATGAGTATGCTGTTCAATGGTACCGGTCTCTATTTGAGGTTTTAGCACTTTTCCTGATGCGCACACACATACCTTTTGTCGGTAATTTTATCTGATATTGTCGATTATGTAGCGGCGACAACGTCTCCGCTCCACTTTTCCACTTTTCATTTCGTATCTCTACTCGTTAGGATTCATGCAATTGGGAGGGCCATGCCCTCATACACATTTTCATTATTTTCTTCGATTAGTTCGACTGTTCTTTAAGGTCCACTGTGTCGCATCATTTGTTCGACGGTGCCACCAAATTCACAAAAAAACAAAAAACACACTGACAAATATTAAAAATAGATTTTCGAGATTATGTCACAAAACACGCTGACAACTAAATCAATGCACTACTTGTTCAAAAAAAAAATTAAACATGTTATGTCACACAACACACTGACAGCTAAATCAAAGCAAAACTTAATCAAAAAACACTAAAAACGTAATTAAATGTTAATGGGTCTGGGCATACTTGATATACGACAAAAGTTTCATGAAAATCGACCCAGCCGTTTGGGAGGAGTTCAGTCAAAAACACCGTGACACGAGATTTTTATTATATATGTAGATTATATGAGTGAGAAGTTCAGCTTCGAGGTGTGCAATTCGCAGCTGCTCCAATGTTCAAGTGTCAAAACTAGTTCAATACGAGCTGTCTGAAAAAAAAAACATACTCTTGTATGCATTTTGTTGGTTCTATTTTTTTTTACTTTTTAAACTAAATATCGTTTTTTTTTGAGCGATTTTCGCATTCAAATCCAGCAAGTGGGCGCAGATAAATTGTGTTTGGATTAAACAAAAAAAAAAACGAGAAGGAACGTGTGAGCTTTTTGAGCTTATAATTTATGTAGAACTAGCAGACCCTCCCGCTTTGCTGCTTACTAAATGCATTTAATGTTTAGAAATTTTCTTCGAAATTAAATAATGATAACACTACTCGACAAAATTGAACTTTTGAAAATTTAGCGCGTCTGAGTACTAGGCTTTAGGCTGTGAACCAAAATGACTTTTTCTGATAGATTTCGGGATTTAAAATTTTTCTAGTACTTTTTTATTTTTTTTATGGTGTCATTTTTTTTAAAGAATTTTTAAAATCTGGTTTTTTTTTTCTTGGTTTTTTTCAGATGTAGTGCTTCTATTTTTCACATAACTTTAGTATCTTATATCTTGTTGCATAGAACTTTGCAGTTCTGAAAAGCTGACAAACGCAGCTATAAATCCGTTAACCAAACCTCAAAAGTGAAGAAATAGACAAAAAATACTTTTTGGAAGGGGTTAAATTTTTGGTAAAAAGTATTTTTTCTCCATTTTTTTTTACTTTTGAGGTTTGGTTAACGAATTTTAGCTCCACCGTATATCCATGGATTTTAATGAACAATACCTTAACCGACGCCTAATTAATGCGTCCATTTTAAACTAAAAATGTTGGCCGAGAATTATATTTTTTTCGACTTTTCCCGAGTTTTTAAAGTCAAAATTTCGAAAAAAATACCGCAAAAAATGATGAAATTTGAATTTGAAAGCTTAATATCTTACAGGCGTTAAGCTGCAAATACAAAGTGTCTGGGCACGATTTATAGTTGCATTTGTCAGCTTTTCAGAACTTCAAAGTTCTATGCAACAAGATATAGGTTAGGTAAGGTTGTTCCGGACGGCCCTCACGGGGCCACGCATAAGCCAATATGGCCCTTAGTTGTCCGGATTGGTGCGTATTGACCTTCTGAGTATTTTTACGCGGTTTCGAAATCCGTGAGGATCGAGGAGAATTTTGCAAAGGCAAGGAGTTCCGCTAGCGTCCTCTTGGATGCATCTTCCAGCGATGCCAGTACCGGGCTGCCAAGATGTTTGTTTCTTGCCCTTGAGAGGGCCGGGCATTGGCAGATTAGATGTTCCAGGGTTTCGATAGCCCCAGATTCATCACACTTCCTGCACTTGCCACTGTTGGTAATGCCTAGTTTGACTGCATGTGCTGCAGCAGGCAATGACCTGTGAGTATTCCCATTATCATCCTACAGTCCTTCCGAGGTAGGTGCAGTAGGTATTGGCTGAGTTTACCATTGCTCTCCTTGCACATGGTTTTCGCGATCTTGCAGTTGGTGGTTCTCCTCCACCTGCTGCTGGCCTGTATGTGTGCCCTCCTCTCTAGTCGCTTTGAAGCGCTCTGAGGGAGACAGGCACGTTCTCAGTCCTGTCGTTTGCCAGCCCGACGCCTTCCTTAGCCAGTACATCCGCTGTCTCGTTACCTTCGATGCCCTGGTGGCTGGGAACCCAATAGATCCTCATTGACTTTGTCGTGCTTAGGTAGTCTAATGCCTCCCTGCTCGCCAGGACGTTTCTGGAACTGACCGCTGACGACTGCATGGATCTTATCGCCGCCTGGCTGTCCACGAACAGGTTTACTACGCCATATGAACGATCGATGGACTGGGCTGCCTCCGCCACTTTCCGTATGCCGTTAACTTCCGCCTGGAATATGTTGCATTGGCCCGGTAGCTTTTAGGACAGCCTAATCTCAGAGTCTGTACAGTATATGCCCGCTCCTACTCCAACTTCCATCTTGGAGGTGTCGGTGTAGATGTTGAGGTGTTGAGTCTGATCCCGACCCCTTTTGAGGTTGTTTTTACATCCAGGCAAGTTTGGGGGATCATGTAGTCAGATATACTGGTCATGTCTCGGCCAATTGAACTGCTCGCGAATCCCTGTAGAGACATGTTTCCTGATGCTACTAAGCGTTGTGCCGCCTTTCCTGCAGTCAGTTGAGCGTGGATGTCCAAGGGGTCGATTCCGATTATGGTTTCGAGTGCTTTTGTTGGGGTTGACCTCAGCGCCCCGTAATGCAAAGCAGCGCCTGCCGCTGGGTCCTTTCCATAAGCTTATTGTACGTCGTCTTTTCTGTCGCTTGCCACCACACTAAGACTCCATACAGCAGAGTCGGTCGCACCACCGAGATGTAGATCCAGTGCATTAGAGCAGGTGATAGGCCCCAAGTGCTGCTAAGCACCTTCTTGGATGCATATAGTGCAATGGTGGCGTTCTTCACCCTTTCCAATACATTGGGTCTCCATGTCAGCTTGCTGTCCAGTACTATGCCGAGGTATTTGACTTGTGTTTTCGGGGTCAGCCTGGTTTTTTCAATTTTCGGGGGGATCCATGCCGGTACCTTGTATCTCTTGGTAAAGAGGATGAGGTACGTCTTGTCTCCCTGAGTGTTGATTCCATTATGGAGCTTAGAGTCGATGGACATACTCCCGTAATAATTATGCTTATGTCATCCGCATAAGCTTTTATTTTTGAGGCTCTCCTTTCGAATCTCTTTATTAGGTCGTCGACCACCAGGTTCCACAGGAGGGGCGACAGGACCCCACCCTGAGGTGTGCCTCTGTGTGCCCCTTTCACCATGGAAGCGGTGCCCTATTCTGAGTACACCCGTCTACAACTTAGAAGGTTCTTTATCCAGAGGTTGATTGCGGGATGTGTGTTGGTCGCTTCTAGGCGGTCCATTATTGCTTTAGTATTCACGTTATTGAATGCTCCGGATATGTCTACGAACACTCCTAGAGCATACATCGAGTGCAGTGCCGTCTCCACCGATTTCCCTTTGGTGTAGGCATGCTGGTTGGTTGACATCCGCCCCCCTACATCGTTTCTGATGTGTAGATCCAGCAGATTTTCTAGTGTTTTGAGTAGAAAAGAGGTGAGGCTTATCGGTCTGTAGTCATTGGGGCTCATATGGCTGCACTTTCCTGACTTTGGAAGGAAGACAATCCTAGAGGTCCTCCATTGAATAGGGATATAGCCCGTGCTCAAGCAAGCTGAGTATATTGCCGAGAGCCATGGGGTGATCACGTCTTTGGTCACCTGTAGCATGGCTGGAAATATACCGTCTCGTCCAGGTGCTTTTGTACCCACAAAAGAGTCTATAGCCCAGTGGATTCACTTATACGATATGAGATCTGTTGGAGGGTGCTGTTCCTCATTTGCTAGGTCCTGATGCTCTGTAGCGTCAGCGACCTCGGTGCATCCTGGGAAGTGGGCTTCTTCGCTGCCTTCAGTCCATTGTCCATCATTTCGTTTCAGCTGACTCTGTATGGCGGGTTGCTTTGATAGCAACTTCCGGAGTCTGGCCGTTTCTGGGACTTTCTCGATATTGGAGCAGAAGTTCCTCCACGAGTTTCTTTGTGCCTTGCGTATTTTCTTCTTGTACTCCCTGAGTAGGGTTTTGTATTCCTCATTGATTATCTCGTCGTTCGCCAGTTTGGCGATTTTGAAGAATTCTTTGAGGTTATTTCTTTGAAGCGATAAGTCCCGGTTTCACCAGAGTGGTCTGGTTCTCTTTTTCGTTCTCGAGGGTGGGCATGCTGCGTGGTACGCATCCAGTAGCTCCTTGGAGAGGGTCTCTAGGGACGTTTCTATTTCTTCCGGGGATTTCACTGTGCCCGCACGATTCGCGAGCTTCGAGGTAACTGTCTTTTTAAACTTTTCCCAGTTTGTGTTCCGGGGGTTTCTATAGACAGTTATCTTCGGAGAGTGTTTAAATTCGCACTTAAACTGAATGTACTTGTGGTCTGAGAAGGATGGTTTTTCAAGGACTCTCCAGCCATATACCAAAATACTGTTCCCCGTTACGAGTGTAAGATCTAGTACGTTAGACGAGGTGGGGCCCACGAAGGTGTGCTCCTCCCCCACGTTTGCTACATCTAGGTTAGTGGATAGTATAAAGTCTAAAAGTGACTCACCTCTTTCGTTGATATCGGGGCTTCCCCACACGCTATGGTGGGCATTGGCGTCCGCACTAACTATGAGTTGCTGGTCTTTCGGACTGGCTTCCGCCAGCAGACTCCTTAGCTCCTCCGGTGGAGCTGGCCTGTCGTGTGCCATGTAGCAGGATGCTACCATAAGGCGCTTCTCCTCGCTTTCAAGCATCACCGCAGCCAGGTCTTCAGTGCTGTAATGGATGCATGGATGCCCTTTCGTACAAGTACGGCGGTTCTAGTCCTGCTTACCGATGGTGGGTAGAAGAGATTGTAATTGGAGGACTTTAGTCCGGCCACAGCATTGCCGGAGGCAAGCCATGGCTCCTGGACCAAAGCTATGTCGACGGGCCCTTGCTCCAAGGCAATGAGGAGCTCCGCCTACGCGAGCTTGCTTTTATGCAAGTTGAGCTGCAGCACTCTCAATGTCATGGGAGGCTGGCTCAACTGCACTCGACGGGTTGACTATTATAGTCAGGTCACCGTCCTCGTCCTCTGCGGCATCAGAGTCGTCCAGCGCAAGATCCTGGGCGGCCTCTACGATGGACTCCAGACCTAAGTCCTTTTCCACCTCGCCTACCTGCAGGGTATGCGCGTCCTTGTCCTCGGGGTGGCGCTTTTTGAGACGTAGGTAGACACTGCCTACGCCCCATGCCATCTTCCCGAATCTCGGGTAGAGGATGTCCTCTGCCTCCTTGTTGATCTGGATGATCATGTGCTGGCCCCCCTCATTGGGTAACGGGCTACCAGCATGCAGGATTTTCCAGTCCGCCGTAGGCACCTCTGTATTCTGCCTCTGGAGAAGTTTCAGTGCTCGGTCTCCCTGGACTGCAATGGGGAAGAGCACCTTCGCCTTTGGGATGGAAGGGATCATCTCCCTGTCCACTACCTCCAGCTTGGCCCCCTCCCACAGAGCTTCCAATTTGGGCACCACTTGCAACAGCCACTTCCTCGTCGGGTCATCATTACATTTGAGGATCTTCACCCCGTTCAGCCATCCCGCACCGTCAAAGGTAGGCATGGCAGCGTCCGGCGCTTCCTCCATTCGCGCGAAAAGGCAGTCTACCAGCTGGGCGTGGACCTGTTTCCACTGCGCCGCCGTCATCTTCCCATTTTCGTCGCTGCGGTCGATCAGGGCCACGATGAGGTGCCTCTTGGACACGTCGCTCACCTTGGCCTTCTGCTTGGGCTTCTTCGTCTTAGAAGGTTGAGGGATAACCACCTTGGGCCCGCGATGCCGCTTGCCCGCCGGGGTGTCCTTTGCACTCTCGATCCAGCGTTGCCTTTTGGTGACCATCATCTCCTCAACCCTATTGGCGAATTCGCTCTTCGTCGCCTTCATCTGAGGCAGCTCCGCGTAGTGGAGACGCCCCTCTTCTACCTTTTGCTCAGCCCAGGCTAGTTTGGACTTCTCCTCTTGGGAGATGTCCTCTTTGCCTTGTAGCCGGGTTTGGATTTTGAGGGCCGCCTTGTATTGGGGGTTAGCCTTCATCCCCTCTCTAGAGCGCTTCGGCCCTTCCCTACGCAGGGAGCTGGTACCTGGTTCAGGCGAGCGGAGAAGGCTCTTTTCTTCCGTTCTGCTTACGCTAAGCACGCTCTCCAGGTCCGAGTCTGTTTCGACCACGGCACCCGTGCGGCTCAGCTTGCAGAGAGGCGTTTTGGTGGATGTAGCTTTGAAACTAATATGACCTGCTCCCGCCATATTAGAGTTGTGACCGCTGGCGACACGCAGAGAGGATTGCTCCTCCCCGTGCCCGCCGGTGGTAGCAGTCACGCTTTCCACCGACGTTTGGACTGACATCCCATTCCCTGTTCAATCCTTGCTCCGGTCCATGTAGTTAATATTTATTGGGGGGACCATCCCCTAACGTTTTATGCTAGTTCCCCTAAGTTAGTTCCCCCAAGTTTTTTTTGGTCGGGAAGACCTGGACCTGGCCTTGGCTAGACACTGCATTGCCCTGGACAGAGCAAGCGGCAATGCATGACCCGATCCGGGATAATGCAGTGCCCATTGCCCACCCGGCACCTTCCGGGAGGGTTCAGCTGGAGGATTTTCGCCTAGCCCTACAAGATATAAGATACTAAAGTTATGTGAAAAATAGAAGCACTACCTCTGAAAAAAAACAAAAAAAAATACCAGATTTTAAAAAATTCTTAAAAAAAAACAACACTAAAAAAAAAAACTATAATTCGTTAAAAATTTTTAAACCCCTAAATCTATTAGAATCTAAATTTTGGGCCACAGCCTAATTCTAGTGTTGACTAGTGTAATCAATAACAGCAAATATACTTACACAAATTGCAATTTTTTCCGAAAACAATTTTTCGTACAAAAAGGTATAAAAACAAAATCTATCATAAAATGAATATAATGACACAAAATGAAATGAAATAGGCGTTCAAAAACACATTTTTACCAAATTTGAGATGTTTTTTTTTATTTTTTTTTAATTATTGAGGAACCTATTTATAGAAAAGTAAAAACTTTTGTACAGAATAAATGCCACATACTCTGGCTATCATTTAGAAAAACAGCATGCAATTTGGTGCACGCGTTGCGGAGATAGCCACTTACACACAGATTTTTTCTACAAATTTATAGTACAGGCGGCCGGCGAAAATCCTTCAGCTGAACCCTCCAAGACGGTGCCGGCTGGGCAATGGGCACTGCATTATCCTGGATCGGGTAATGCAGTGTCTAGCCAAGGCCAGGTCCAGGTCTTCCCAATCAAAAATTTGGGGGAACTGAACCATGGCCATGGCTGAAGGTGTCTGGCGGGTAGGCATAAGACGCGTAGTCCCCCCGAAAAATATTAGCCAGCATGGACCCTCTGGGCCAATAATGGAGCGGAAGAAGGAGCAAAAAAGGGTTGTGATGTCAACCCAAACGTCGGTGGAAAGCGTGACTGCTACCACCGGCGGGCACGGGGAGGAGCAATCGTCTCTGCGTGTCGCCAGCGGCCACACTGCAACAAAAACGACTCACTCCAAGTTGAGCCGCACAGGTGCCGTGGTCGACACAGACTCGGACCTGGAGAGCATGCTCTCGGTAACCAAGACGGAGGAAGAGCTGGAGGTGGTGGACAGGGAGCTAATCCCGTCCATACCAAAGGCAAAGGTACTCTTCCCCATCGTAATCCAAGCGGACCGTGCGCTGAAGCTGCTACAGCGGCAGAACCCTGATAAGCTAACGGCGAACTGGAGGATTTTGCATATCGGGAGCCCACTACCCAATGAGGGGGGCCAGAGTGCGATCATTCAGATCAGCAAGGAGGCAGAGGACCTGCTGTACCCAAGATTCGGGAAGATGGCGTGGGGAATGGGCAGTGTGTACCTGCGGCTGAAAAAGCGCCGCCCAGAGGATAAAGATGCGCACACTCTGCAGGCGGGCGAGGTGGAGATGGACCTTGGTCTGGACACCATCGTGGAGGCCGCACAGGGTCTTGCGCTGGACTCGGAGGAGGATGGTGACCTGACGGTAGTAGTCAACCCGTCGAGTGGAGCTGAGCCAGACGCACATGGTGAGTGTGCTGCAGCTCAACCTCCACAAAAGTAAGATAGCGTCGGCGGAGCTCCACTTTGCCATGGAGCAAGGGCCCGCCGATATAGCCTTAGTCCAGGAGCCATGGGTTGCATCAGGCAATGCTGTGGCCGGACTAAAGTCCTCAAATTTTAACGTGTTCTATCCATCATCGGTAAGCAGGAACAGAACCGCCGTACTCGTACGAAAGGGAATCCATGCTCACCTCATGTCTCATTACAGTACTGACGATCTGACCGTGGTGATGCTAGAAAGCAAGGAAAGGCGCCTGATGGTAGCCTCCTGCTACATGGCTCACGACAGGCCAGCGTCAACTGAAGAGTTGAGGCATCTAGTGGTGGAAGCCAGCCCGAAAGACCAGCAACTTCTCGTCGGTACGGACGCAAACGCACATCACAACGTATGGGGAAGCCCCGTTATGAACGATAGAGGTGAGTCACTCCTAGACTTCATACTATCCACTAACCTAGAAGTAGCAAACGTAAGAGAGAAATACACCTTTGTAGGTCCCACCTCTTCAAACGTGCTAGATTTAACACTCGTAGCGGGAAAGAGTACTTTTGTATCTGGCTGGAGAGTCCTTGAAAGACCATCCTTCTCAGACCATAAGTACATTCAGTTTAAGTGCGATTTAAACACTCTCCGAAACACCCCCGGAACACAAACTGGGAGCGAGCTGTCGCGACACGTCCGGGCACAGTGAAATCCCCGGTAGACATAGAAACGTCCCTGGAGACCCTATCCAAGGAACTACTGGATGCGTAGCACGCATCGTGCCCACCCTCGAGAACGAAAAAGAGAACCAGACCACTCTGGTGGAACCGGGACTTATCGCTTCAAAGAAATAACCTCAAAGAATTCTTCAAAATCGCCAAACTGGCGAACGACGAGATAATCAATGAGGAATACAAAACCCTACTCAGGGAGTACAAGAAGAAAATACGCAAGGCACAAAGAAACTCGTGGAGGAACTTCTGCTCCAATATCGAGAAAGTCCCAGAAACGGCCAGACTCCGGAAGTTGCTATCAAAGCAACCCGCCATACAGAGTCAGCTGAAACGAAATGATGGACAATGGACTGAAGGCAGCGAAGAAGCCCACTTCCCAGGATGCACCGAGGTCGCTGACGCTACAGAGCATCAGGACCTAGCAACTGAGTAACAGCATCCTCCACCAGATCCCATATCGTATAAGTGAATCCACTGGGCTATAGACTCCTTTGTGGGTACAAAAGCACCTGCACTAGACGGTCTATTTCCAGCCATGCTACAGGCGACCAAAGACGTGATCACCCCATGGCTCTCTGCAATATACTCAGCTTGCTTGAGCACAGTCTATGTCCCTATCCAATGGAGGACCTCGAGGATTTTCTTCCTTCCAAAGTCAGGAAAGTGCAGCCATATGAGCCCCAATGACTACAGACCGATAAGCCTCACCTCTTTTCTACTCAAAACACTAGAAAAGCTGCTGGATCTACACATCAGAAACGATGTAGGGGGGCGGATGTCCACAAACCAGAATGCCTACACCAAAGGGAAATCGGTGGAGACGGCACTGCACTCGATAGTAGCCACCATCGAAAATGCCCTTCAAAATAAGAAGTATGCTCTAGGAGTGTTCGTAGACATATCCGGAGCATTCAATAACGTGAATACTAAAGCAATAATGGACCGCCTAGAAGCGACCAACACGCATCCCGCAATCAACCTCTGGATAAAGAACCTTCTAAGTTGTAGACGGGTACTCAGAATAGGGCACCGCTTCCTTGATGAAAGGGGCACACAGAGGCACAGAGGGTGGGGTCCTCTCGCCCCTCCTGTGGAACCTGGTGGTCGACGACCTAATAAAGAGATTCGAAAGGAGAGCCTCAAAAATAACAGCTTATGCGGATGACATAAGCATAATTATTACGGGAGTATGTCAATCGACTCTAAGCTCCATAATGGAATCAACACTCAGGGAGACAAGACGTACCTCATCCTCTTTACCAAGAGATACAAGGTACCGGCATGGATCCCCCCGAAAATTGAAAAAACCAGGCTGACCCCGAAAACACAAGTCAAATACCTCGGCATAGTACTGGACAGCAAGCTGACATGGAGACCCAATGTATTGGAAAGGGTGAAGAACGCCACCATTGCACTATATGCATCCAAGAAGGTGCTTAGCAGCACTTGGGGCCTATCACCTGCTCTAATGCACTGGATCTACATCTCGGTGGTGCGACCGACTCTGCTGTATGGAGTCTTAGTGTGGTGGCAAGCGACAGAAAAGACGACGTACAATAAGCTTATGGAAAGGACCCAGCGGCAGGCGCTGCTTTGCATTACAGGGCGCTGAGGTCAACCCCAACAAAAGCACTCGAAACCATAATCGGAATCGACCCCTTGGACATCCACGCTCAACTGACTGCAGGAAAGGCGGCACAACGCTTAGTAGCATCAGGAAACATGTCTCTACAGGGATTCGCGAGCAGTTCAATTGGCCGAGACATGACCAGTATATCTGACTACATGATCCCCCAAACTTGCCTGGATGTAAAAACAACCTCAAAAGGGGTCGGGATCAGACTCAACACCTCAACATCTACACCGACGGCTCCAAGATGGAGGGAGGAGTAGGAGCGGGCATATACTGTACAGACTCTGAGATTATGCTGTCCTAAAAGCTACCGGGCCAATGCAACATATTCCAGGCGGAAGTTTACGCCATACGGAAAGTGGCGGAGGCAGCCCAGTCCATCGATCGTTCATATGGCGTAGTAAACCAGTTCGTGGACAGCTAGGCGGCGATAAGATCCATGCAGTCGTCAGCGGTCAGTTCCAGAAACGTCCTGGCGAGCAGGGAAGCATTAGACTACCTAAGCACGACAAAGTCAGTGCGGATCTATTGGGTTCCCAGCCACCAGGGCATCGAAGGTAACGAGACAGCGGATGTGCTGGCTAAGGAAG